GTGGATTAGCGTTTGATAAAGATGGATTCTTGTATGTTTGTGATTATAATAATTACCGACTTGTTGTTTATTAAGAACAATGATTATTTCAATTTATTTTATAATTATTATTGATAAAATATAAAAGCAGTATAATACTGACTGATCAGCTACTAATAAGGAAATTTTTGGTCAAGTCAAATTGTGCCCTGTGCAATAATAATAATAATAATAACAGTTATTATTATAAAAAGATAAAGAGCACACTGAGTTGTACGGTTATTAGAAAATGTAATATAAATTCAGGGTGATTTTAGAGCTATTTTTTGGAGAAAACCACAAGCTTGGGGTATTTTTCTAAAAATTTACTTTTTAAAATGGCTTTAGCTAAAAATGCTTTTGTTAGAATCAGCTTAATGTTATACTTTAGAATCATTAATGTATTTATTTATCATAGGTTGTGGATCTGAACTATCGTCTGAAGGGTCTTTCATTCATATTACTGAAGATGTATAGACTGGGTTTAGAAGCCAAGGACTCAAATACTATCAGACTGGTTTATTATTATTTCATCATTGTTAACCTGTTTGTATATACTGTACATGCATGCCTGAAGTGTGTTCTAATATTATTTATTGTCATAGTTCATAAATTACTCTCATTTCTGTTTATAAGTCATGACACCTGTTTCTGCATTAATGGCTTTCGCAATAATAATCAATAATAAAGACAATATTGTGCATTAAACAGAAATAATAATGCTAAAATAATTATAAACAAAAAATTGTTACATAGAATAAAAACAATACTAGTAAAGTAATTTTTACAATTTTGTGATGGGCTATAGCCCATGGTTTTTCCAAAAATGGCTCCAAAATCACCCCAAAATTTTACTACATTTTCTGATACATATTGATGTCCTTATGCTGTGTAGAAAGTTTGAGTTGATTCCAACTTCAATTTTTCAAGTTATGGCCATTTTTAAATCTTAAATTTTAAATTTTTAATTTTAAAATCATTTTTAAGTCTCCTTGGGAGACTTCTTCATTTCCTTTACAGTTTGATAAAGGCTGGATTGTGAAAATAGTAAGAGGGTTATTATTAATATCCGTATATATGCATGTACATGTACATGTACATTATTACAACAATTACATGTATGTATTAGTGAAGGAATAATGCTTATATCTACTTGTAGCCATTTACTAAATAATGGTGTAGTGAAAATAATCTTCTCTTTTCTTTTGTTACAGTTACCAGTGGCATTTCTATTAGGTTTCTCAATGCTTTTGATTTGTCTTATAGTACCAAGCAGTAAGTATTCTAAATAAATCATTATCAATTATTATTATTATTATTATTATTACTATTTCTTTTCTTTTAGCTGATCCTTTCAGTCAGATACTGTATCT